AGTTGATGCAGAGCTGGTTGAGACCGTTCACGGAAAGCGACTCGAAGCCAACGACATCGAGAACGCTCACGCGCAGCGCGTCAGACGGCGCACCACTCGACGCGTTGCTGCGCATAGTAATGTACTCGAAGAGACGCACGTAGAGCGCCTTGGCCATCGCAGCGGCCACGGATGCCGCGCGCTCGGGACCATGCGGCATGTGTTGCCGCTCGAGCTTGCTGCCAATCGTGAGCACGGTGACACAGAGCGCGTCACGCAGCGCATCGGCAGGCACACGCAAGAGCGTTGCAGCAGCAACCAGCGCGGCAGTGTTGGCCACCTACGTCGTCCGTATGGCATGATCGCAAGCATCGTGGCAACGAAGACGGCATACCTTGGAGCCTGTCTCCTTGTCCGAGATAAAGACGAGGTTGCCCAGGTGGAGGATGGCAGCCACGACGCCGAGGAGCCAGTCGACGTCGAGAATACCCACAGCGCGCAACGCATCGAGAGTTGCGTCCAGCCCTCCCATCGCTGTTGCGTCGGAGCAGCCCTAGCGCAAAACCAGGTTGGAGGAGTGTCGATAGACGCTTGGAGCCAACCTCGGAATCGGTCAAGTACGCGTACTCGCCAAGGCCAAAGGGCGCGAGGCCATAGTCTGCCGCACGCTGGGAGCAGAGAAGCTGGTAGAAAATGAGATAGTTGCTCTCGCCATTAGCCTGGCGCACGACACGCGCCTTCTCCAAGAGGTAGCACCTGATCGACGCGCCGACCACCGAGCGCGTCGACGCGTCCACGTGCAAGGTCACGAGTTTGGAAAAGCGACTGCTGCTGCCATTGCGAGGCGTCTTGGCATGCCCAAATGCCGTCAGTGCCGAATGCGCGCCAAGCACGCCAGACCTACGCGCCGTCATCAGCAACTATAACGTTCATGCAGACGTGCGCCGACCCGTTCTGTTCGGTGAGTGCGGTGAGAAGGTGTGTCGCGGCTGCCGTCTTGCCAGCGCCGCTCTCACCACTGACAATAATCACCTAGCCTCCAATGAATGATACAACCGTCGCTTTGGAAGGCAAGCCGCGCACCTGGTTTCGGCCGTCCTGAAGGAGCGCATCGAGCGCCGCCTGCGCCATGGCCCCAAGACTGGGCGCGATCCCAGAAGCGTTTGTACTCGATGGTGGCGTCGGTGGCGCACCAAAGGCATGCAGCGCCACGAGCATCCCCGCCGACGAGCCCACCCACGTGTGCAGTCGCCCCTATAGAAAGGTCGATGATGGCCATGCCGAACAGATGCCATGTACCTCGAGAAAGCGCTTCTGAAGCATGTGCAGCACAGTGGGCTCGGTATCGTACGCTGCGAGCGTAGCGAGGTCGTCGACGTTGCGCCGTAGACTGGCGTCCGTGACTAGCGCCATGGCATCCGGGACAGGCACGTCTTCCAGCATCTCGCCGTCACCAAGCACTGTCGCCATACCCGGACGCGGACGATCGACAATGCGCCGAAGCACGTAGCCAGCTGCAGCGTCGTCGACCCAGAGGTAGGTTGGACCATGGGTGGAGGCGACCACGCTCAGTCGCTGCGCTCTATAGACCAGTTGTAGCATCAATCGCGGAAGCGACCTCGCTGCAAGCACGTACATTGGATCCAGCGTGAAGGATCGGCCGTCGGCCGTCGAGTGAACGTGTGGCGTTGCCGGCTACGAAGCGAGGCTGAATGATCCCAAGGCTTTTAAACAACATGTTACGCAGCGGGCGGTGCAGAGCGTCTTTGCGATATGTCCTGGGCAAAGCACCGACGCCTCGGACGCTGCTTGGGGTAAGAGAGGTCTGGATCTATCCAATTCGTCGCCGTCGTCGTCGTCTTGGTTACTCGAACGAGGGACAGCAACAAGCGTTGTGACGAGCGACTGCACTTTGCGCGGAGGCACAATGGTTCGTGGACCATGCGCAATGGGTTTTAGAGACGCAGACCGCTTCAGAAGGCTCGCGTGGATCGCGTCTTTTGCGTTCAAGCACGAGAGGAGCGACGGGAGCTCACCGATCGAGAGCCACTCGGCGAGCCCGAGACGCCAGACAATGGTGTCCGTCTGGAGCTCACCGCGGAGCCAGAGGCTGCGCAGGAGCTCCAGCGTCGCGGGGCCGTGGATTTTATCGTCGTCGTTGGCGTAGAACCATCGTGTCTCGGCCATCGGCGCCATCGCCACGTGCTTCACTTAACAGCAATTTTGAAACGGTTTCTATCCGAAACGATCTGGCTCCGATTGGGTGTTTCCCGCCAAAACAAATCTACTGCCTCAAAAATGTACTTTCAACTTTACAAAGGCGAGGCAGATGAATGCAATCTTGGCGAGTGTCCTTACCACGATCCACGATCGCCCGACGAGCGAGCCTTTCTATGCACGCGTCCTCGTCGTCCTGCCGCGTCACCCGTCGTCTTCGCACGTTTAAGAACCATGTCATTGGCTCAGACGAGGAGAAGGAAGCGCAGCGTTTGGCTGCAGCCCGCTGCCTGACCCTTCTCGAGATGGCTGCACCTTCAAGGCAGCACACCGCACCGATAGTGCCGATCAGAAACTGGAGAAGGTGGGACATACCCAAGAAGCCGCCGAGGCGAGCGTGCGACGTGGTACACGACCACCCAACGCTGGGGCGGTGCTCCAGTCTAGGCACTGCTGCAGCGCTCCAGCCTCGCCAAGCTGCAGTTTGTGGGCGAAACTATTCTCGTTGTTCCAACCGATTTCTCTACGCAAGCGTATGCAACCGCGCGACAGGCCAGCGTCACGCCCATGGTCGCGTCAACCTGATTCCCATGGGGCTCGTCTCGACCGCGACGCTTGGCCGCAAGCGGCTGCCATAGGAATACTTGCTTGCACGAGACCCGACGAGCCTCTAATTCGTACTTGGTACGAATTAGGCGACGACGGCGCGCGCTCCCAGCCTCTCGCGCGATACAAACTGCAA